GCGCCGGGAGCAGAGCCGGTGAAGCGGCGGCTCTGGGCTGACCTAGCGGCGGAGGAGGAAGAAGCCGCTAAGCTCGACGCCCTGCAGGCGGCGACCCTGCCCGCGGGGGGCGCGCGGGCTGCTGGAGGCGCCGCCGCCAGACCCGCCCCTGGCGCCACGGCGGCAGCGCGCGCGGCGGCGGCGGACCGCGCGGCAGAGGCCGCTCAGGCGATGCCCTTGGCTGCGGCCGCGGACGCGGCGGCCGCGGAGGCTGCCGAGGGGCTGCGCGAGGAGGTGTGCGCCACCTTCCAGCGCGGCTGGACGCCTGTCAGGGTCGCCGCGCGCCACCTCGGCCTGACCGAGGGCCGGCGCCTGCCCGCGGCCCGCGGCTGGGTGGCGCGGCAGGTGGCGCGCCTGGCTGCGGCGGAGCTCCTCGAGCTCGCCGAGCTGCTGGGCGCTGCAGACTAGCCGCGCGGCGCGCGGCGCCAGGCCGCGCAAAGCCGCAGCCCGGCTGAGCACTGTTGCTTTTGCTGCTGCCTTCTCCTCTTCTTCCCCTCCCTCCCCCTTTTGCTTTCCCCCTTTCCCCTTAAGTCGCCACGGGGCGCACCCCTCTTCGGCTGGTAAAAAAGTGTACCAGGGCCCCCCAGGAAGCCTCAGGAGGCCCGACTTGGATACCAGAAGAGGCTCCAGGAGGCCCCAGGATTGTGAGTGTGTGTGTGTGTGTGTGTGTGTGTGTGTGTGTGTGTGTGTGTGTGTGTGTGTGTGTGTGTGTGTGTGTGTGTGTGTGTGTGTGTGTGTGTGTGTGTGTGTGTGTGTGTGTGTGTGTGTGTGTGTGTGTGTGTGTGTGTGTGTGTGTGTGTGTGTGTGTGTGTGTGTGTGTGTGTGTGTGTGTGTGTGTGTGTGTGTGTGTGTGCGTGTGTGTGCGTGATGTGTGCTCTGTGTTGTGCGTGCTGTTTGTGCGTTGTAGGTGTTGTGTGTGCTATGTTTGTCTAGCGTGTGATGTGTTGGGCGTGATGTGTGTCTCTGTGTGTGCGTGTAGTTCTGAGGCCCCAGGAGGCCCCAGGAGGCCCCAGGCGGCCTCAGGAGGCCCCAGGAGACCCCAGGAGGCTTCAGGAGGCCCCAAGAGGCTCCAGGAGGCCGCAGGAGACCCCAGGAGGCCCCAGGAGGTTTCAGGAGACCCCCAGGAGGCTCCGAGGCGAGGTCTGGGGCATTAGAAGGTTTAGAAAGCCCCAGGAGGCCCCAGGAGGTTCCAGGAGGCCCCCAGGAGGCTCCGAGGCGGGGTCTGGGGTACCAGAGGGTACGTCGGGGCTCGATTTTGGGAGGATGTGTCAGGCGAAATCGCCATTCTGTCAGAATCGGGGTCAAAATTATTGAAATTACCATATGTGTTTGAAGATTTTATGTTAAAATGATGAATTCCCCATGTGTTTTTGGACCCTGGCGTCACGATCTGCGTGAGGGGTGCCACCGATGTTCAAAATGACGAGGATGTCCCTAGCGAAACGGCCAAAAAATCGCGGAAGCGGCGCCCCGCGTACGCACTAATCGCCTCTGAGCTCTACTCCCTTGGAGAGGTGCGTATGATCATATCTATTATTAGTATTGTTGTTATTATTATTATTATTAGCATTATTAGTATCATTATTATTATTATCATCATCATCATCATCATCATCATCATCATCATCATCATCATCATCATCATCATCATCATCATCATTATTATTATTATTATTATTATTATTATTATATCTTATTAGTAATACTATTATTATTATTATGATTATTATTGATATATATATATATATATATATATATATATATCGGTGGCACCCCTCACGCAGATCGTGACGTCAGGGTCCAAAACACACATGGGAATCTCAACATTTTAACATAACACTTTCAAAAACATATGGTACTTTCAATAATTGTGACCCCGATTCTCAGAGAATGGCGATTTCGCATGAGACATCCTCCCAAAATCGAACCCCGACGTACCTTTTGGTACCCCAGACCCCGCCTCGGAGCCTCTTGGGAGTCTCCTGGAACCTCCTGGGGCCTCCTGGGGGTTTCTGAACCTTCTGGTACCCCAGACCCCGCCTCGGAGCCTCCTGGGGGTCTCCTGGAACCTCATGGGGCCTCCTGCGGCCTCCTGGAGCCTTTTGGGGCCTCCTGGAGCCTCCTGGGGTCTTCTGGGGCCTCCTGAGGCCGCCTGGGGCCTCCTGGGGCCTCCTGGGGCCTCAGAACTACATGCACACACAGAGACACAAATCACACCCAACACCTCACACGCTAGACAAACATAACACACACACACACAACACCTACAACGCACAGAAAACACGCACAACACAGAGCACATATCACACACACACAACACTCACAATCCCGGGGCCTCCTGGAGCCTCTTCCGGTATCCAATTCGGGCCTCCTGAGGTTTCCTGGGGGGCCCTGGTACACACATCTCAAGGTGTGGCAACCCCACTTGCGCGCGAGTGCGACCTCGATCTTAGATTATTCTGCGTTCACCTCCTGTCTCTTCCACTTCTCTTAGGCACGCCCTGGCGGCGCCGCCCCAGCTTCCCCTTCTCCATCTCCGATCCTGCAGTCATGGTGTCTTCCTGCTTCAAACGCCCTTTCAGTTGCTTTTGTTTATATGAGCCTGGGCACACACGTGCCACTTGTATATGTCCGTTCGGGTACCCCCTGTGGGCCCCCTCTTGGGGCCGCCCTGAGGCCTTCATGGGCTGCATTGGGGGCCCCTTGGCCCTTCTTGGGGCTCTCTTGGGCCGTCTTGAAGCTCTGCAGGGAGCCTCTTGGACCGTCTTGGGGCGATCTTCGAAGCCTCGCTGGCCGTCTTGGATGCTCTGAAAGCTCCAGAGACGAATCTTCTAGAAATAACATATGTTTTCCGAAAGGAATAGGGCCATTTGAAGGCTTGCAATATCCAGAACCCCTCCACTGTGGGGGGTCGCCACGCCATGCTATGTCAGGATACGCGCTGATCTTCAACACCATGCTATGCAATGTAATGCTACGCTCTGCTACGACATTCGACTGTGCGAATAGAGAGGATAGTTACGCCATGGCAAGGGATGGAAGGGAGGGTTAGGACGTCAGATATGACGCGAGCGCACCTAGCTTGGGGTACCCCCTCTGGGCCCCCTCTCGGGGCCGACATGATGCCTTCATGGGCTGTTTTGGTGGCCTCTTGGGCCTTCTTGGGGCTCTCTTGGGCCGTCTGCGAGCAATGTGCCTATTGGGTCGTCTTGGGGCGATCTTCGAGGCCTCGCGGGCCGTCCTGGGTGCTCTGAAAGCTCCAAGGAAGAATCTTCTAAAAATACACGTTTTCCAAAGAGAATGGGGCAAGTTTTGCCTCTTGAGGCCCTCTTGGGAGCCTCTTGGGGGGCCTCTTGGGGCTTCCTGGGGGCCATTCGGGGCCTTTTTTTGTTACTGCTGCTGACGTAAGATCTGAAAATGGGCGGGTGCCTTGCCTTCCAGAAAAACAGGACAACAAAAAAAACGTGCTCACGCCGCATCCGCAGGCGCGCCAACCACCCGTCGCAACCACATCTGGGGAATGCGTCTTTGGAGACGACGTGAGTCTGGCTCGCTGGGCGAGGCTCCGACTCGGATGTTACAGTCACACCGTACCGTCGAGCGAAAAGGGTTGGCAGCTGGCAGCGGGGCACACGTGTCTCCGCACTGCAACAACCATCAAAAAACTAGACGCACCAGGCCGCCGGGTGTCGGCAGCGGATTCGTAATGAGACGACGGGTGTGCTCGCCTGGGAATCCGCACGCTCCACTCTCGCCGAGACTTCCTCGGATGTGTAACCAGGCAGGGGCTTGAGAAACGTCCGGCGGTTTCACGCTGGATGTGCAGCCCGATTCTGGGACGAGAAACATCCGCAACTGGCCGGGAACGTCATTGGCGCATGCACTCACATGGGGCCAGCCGGCCCAGCCTGAAGGCCGATGCTCGGAGAAAGCTGGTCCAGAGTCGCGCTTTCAGAAGGCGGCGGCCTGCCTGCCAGTGGCCCCCCTGCACACGCGGCAGTCAAGCTCAGCGCGCCTGCGGGGCCAGCAGTGAGGAGCGCAGCACAGGGGGCACGCGCGCACCGGAGACATGCGGAGGGGGGGGGCGGAGGAGGGAGAGCTGGAGGAGGGGGGGGGAAGATTGGGGGGGAGGGGGACCGCCGTACTCGGCAGCCGCCAGCCTCACCTCACCCGTGGGAACGCAGTGCTCGGCAACCCACGGGGTCTGCGCACCGTGAAGGGCTGCGGGCGCGCAGCGGCTCAGGTCCTGAACCTCAAGGGGGCCATCATCCATCACCCATGCGCCACGTGCACCAGATTGGGAATTTGAGGCAACTGAGATCAATCACTGGTCCCCTGGGGAACCCGACCAGACGGGCCGTCCTGCAGAGATCTCCTTCGTTATGTTTTTGTCTTCCCCCCTCCACCGTCACGTTCCCACCCTCAAGAACCCCACCCGCCCCGCGCGGCTCTCTGCCAGAGACCGCTGCAAGTCCAGATGCATCCCTTCGCGATTGCATCGCAGCGACACCTGTCATGCCGCTCGGCAACCGAAGATTGATCTCGGACCATCTAAAAACTAATCAAGGAACAAGCGTGCGCCACCCCAGGGTCGCCGGAAAACCAACGCTGGAGAACTCCAGGATTGTGCACCACTCCTAATTTCATTGAAAAAAGTTTGCGTTGTACGCGAGCGGTCTCAGATGACAGATGCTTGTGGACATGATCAAGCGCCTCTGCATTTCTAGGCGGCCACCCAGCGACGCCCCGAGACTCCAGAAGAACACGCCGACCAACTCGTGGAGACAGGGTCTCCCGAGGGCTGGGAGGCCGAGTGACAAAGAAGAGAGCTCCGGCGAGCATTCAGACACCGCACGCGACATCCTCTTGCAACGAGCCCGGTGAGAGAGCGAGAGAGCCCCGCGAGTGTGAGCGAACTGCTGGGCGGGTCTCCTCCTCCTCCTCCTCCTCTTCCTCCTCCT